TAGTGGCACTTGGGCCTCTCACTGTTGTGGCCTCTCCCGTTGCGGAGCACAGGCTCCAGACGCGCAGGCTCAGCGGCCATCGCTCACAGGCCCAGCCGCTCCGCGGCATGTGGGAGCTTCCCGGACCGGGGCACGAACCCGTGTCCCCTGCATCGGCAGGCGGACTCTCAACCACTGCGCCACCAGGGAAGCCCACTAAAAACATTTTTATGTAGAGAAATTTCTCTGATAACTAAATTTCCTGTAGAGAATTTCCATTTAGGAACTTTATTTTGTCACACTCAGGGAATGGAAAAAAAAAAGGCATCTCAAAACATCACTTAAAAAAAAAAGGACTAATCATTGCCTTTGCTATAGTTGTCATGGTTAACATGTGACCAGAGAAATGATTAAGATTCTTGAAGCAGACCAGGCGGGCTTCTTGGTTTGCCTGAACAGCTCAGCAGTTGAGTTTAAATGGTTAACATTCATGACACACAGATATTGAAAAAAAAAAAAGGAGAGAGAAAATTAAAATGTCAGTTCTAACATGATACAGCTGGAAAATGATGCAAAGAAAAAATATTGGAAAATTAAGGACAGGCTTACATGAAAGATGCCTAATTTACATGGAACAGCCTGGGTGCTATCAGAAATGTGGCAACAAGTAAGGAAAATAGATCATCTACCATCTGCAGACAATTAAACCCCAAACTGCTGGTACATAATAGTTCGAAATATCCCTTTGCACTGTTCAAACAGTGTTGCTCCTTGTAACCAGACAACAGAGGCAACTGGGTTTAAAAGTGGTATCATCATCTTTCACGTGTTACTAATGAAAACTTTTTAGTTTTGCTCAGTGAGATGAATAAACTAACAGTTTGGACAGAGAATGGAGAACTCCCGAGATATCACAAAGATAATTTTCTTGGTATGACACAGTATGCAAAATTGCATAATAAACTGTAAACAGTAAAATGTTATTTCTAAGACTCGTGACAAAGTTGGTACCAATTCCAAGTTTACGCACAGAACACTTGCTTGGTCATAGATACTCTTGTTCAACCGACATTCCTGTGCAGTTTTCCATTACTTACAGGAAAATTTGACCTACTCTACATCTGACAAAAATTACATTTTTTCTATAAAAATAGAACATCTATCCCATACTGAAACTGGTAAACAACATGAACAAAAAGATATTTGAAAAGAGCTATGTCAGGCAGCCCTGTATTCACAACTCAAAAGAAGACAAGTTACAAACTGAGGCTCAAAACTCAAGTGGAAAAGTCCACAACAGGGGTCAGGAAGGATTTCTATCTGATCTCTGTGTTCTGCCTTGTAAAGTGTTCCTCTGTGACAATTATTCTCAGTTACAAGGAAAAAACTTGATTTTGTCACAAATTACTGTAAAACAGGGGTCAGCTGGCCCACTGCCTGCTTTTGCAAATAAAGTTTTATTGGCAGAGTCATGTTCATTGTTCACCCATGATGACGGCTGCCCTTCCACAGCAAAGGCAGGGCTGAGGGGCTCTGATGGAGACAGTGTGGGTCGGGAAGCCTAAGATATTTATCATCTGCCCTTTACAGAACAACTTGCTGCACTATGTCTTAAAATATCAAAAGAATGCATTATGAAAGAGAATATCGCTAAATTCCTAGGCTTTAAAGATGGAGTCTGGTGCTGATAAGCTTAGGGTCCCCTTTAGGTACAAAGGTGCGCACGGGAGAGTAAACATCACACCCGGTGTATCGGCTCCTAACCTGCCGTTTCAGTTACAGGTGGTGGTATCTTCTGTAATTTGAAGACCCAGTATTTACCAAACTGGGTTTTATATGACTCTAGGGCTCCTTGAAAAATGAGTTTGGATCGAATAAATTTAGAAACTCTAGGGCTGAGCAAAGTTAAACAGGTTTCCTTTCCTTAGGAACTTCTCGGGGGCCTTAATGCACTCATGATATACATTATGGAGACTTTCAGGTCGAGAAAAGGAAATATTTTCTCTACAAAATGCAGAGCGGCAAATGCGTATCATATTTACGTTTCTATTTCTAAACCCATAGCTAAATGATAGCAGATTAGCATATATGAGTGACCTTACTATATAATTTGTTTGCTTGTGTGTTGAATATGAGTAATTAAAAGGAATCTTAATTAGCTTTACATCTCGACATTCTTTTCAGTTCTTTTTATCAGTGTACTTTCATTTTGTACCACTGTGGCCTAGAAAGGATGGCGTTTCTTTGAACAAAACAATGAACAGAAAAACAGTGTAGAGAAACTTCTCAAAGAGCCTAGTGATTCAAAAAAGAAACATTCACATTTGTGAATATAGTTAGAAATTGTATCAGAACAATAGAAATCCTTCAGAGTTTCCTGAAGGTCTCCCAGCAAAGCACATTGCCACACAAGTGTAAGATAAATAAAATACTACACTTAAAAACAGTGGAGCATTTTTGCACAGAAAATTCACCTTAAAATATGACATTAGAATAATGGTTTTGTTTTCTTTTTCTTTAAGGTTTATATCTGACTACTATAATACTTTTGAAAATAATTTAGCATGTGGTTTTCATGCAGCTTTTGTCTTGATTTCTAGCTGTACTGCTGTTAGTCAAATCATAGCAAGGAGAGGAATAAGTTAATACATATGACATCTCCCCCCATATACACTAAAAACGAAGAAACAAACAAAACCCTCAAAACTTTTATGAACTCGAAATCCTCAAAATTTAAAAAGTGATATATTTATGTATCTATGTTTAGAAGTTTTAAAGATTACACTATGCCTAACATAATAGGCACTTAAATTTTTTTTATCCTCTTAAATTTGTTGAAGCTTGCTTTGTACCCTTGTATGTGGTCAATCCTAGAGAATGTTCCATGTGCACTTGAAAAGAATGTGTATTCTGGGTTTTTTTGGATGTAATGTCCTGAAAATATCAATTAACTCTAACTGTTCTATTGTATCATTTAGGATCTCTGTTGCCTTACTGATTTTCTGTCCAGAAGATCTGTCCATTGATGTGAGTGGGGTGTTAAAGTCTCCTACTATTATGTATTCCCATCAATTTCTCCATTTATGTCTGTTAGTATTTGTTCTATGTATTTGGGTGCTGCTATACTGGGTACATGTATGTTGACAAGTGTAATATCCTCTTCTTGTACTGATCCTTTTACCATTATGTAGTGTCCTTCTTTATCTTTCTTTATGGCCTTTGTTTTAGAGCCTGTTTTGTCTGATATGAGTATTGTGACCCCTGGTTTATTGTCATTTCCGTTTGCATGAAATATCTTTTTCCATCCCCTCACTTTTGATCTATGTGTGTCCTCAAATTTTTTTTTAAATAAATGTATAACAAGAAAGCTCCCAAATGGCTATATTGTCAAGGAGAAACATAGCTGGCATCATGTCATGGAAAAAATTATTTTATGGGAGATTAATGCAACGTATACAGTTTAAACTAATTATTATATCAATTAGAATGACTATAGCTCATTTAATACAAGAAATCTAATTTACTAACAAGACAGATTTTTACTTTTAAGTGACAATAAAAGTTTCCTGTCAGTTTAGAATTGATCATCAACAAATTCTTTAGAATTGTTCACTAACAAATTCTTCCAAAACTAGCAGAAAAGAGTTTCCACCCTACTAGTTACCACAGGCAGCCATAAGGTATGTGAAAGTTAAGGAAAACATATACAAGCATTGCTAAGACATAGCTGGATCAAGTGGTGTTAAACAGAATTCAACTATAAAAATGTGAATGTGATTAAAAATCAAAATAAAAATTAGGAGAATCTAAAAATAGCTAAAAGCCATTCTATGTACTCCACCATAAAGATTAAAAAGAATCCTGTTGGGAGGGTAACCCCAAAACATCAAGTATATTGTCATCGTATGGTGTCTTTCTTTTTTTATTTTTACAATTTAATTTATTTATTTAGTTAATTTTTATAAATTTATTTATTTTATTTTTGGCTGCATTGGGTTTTCATTGCTGTGTGCGGGCTTTCTCTAGTTGCGGCGAGTGGGGGCTTCTCTTGTTGCAGAGCACGGGCTCTAGGCACGCGGGCTTTGGTAGTTGTGGCTTGCAGGCTCAGTAGTTGTGGCTCACGAGCTCTAGAGTGCAGGCTCAGTAGCTGTGGCACACGGGCTTAGTTGCTCCGTGGCATGTGGGATCTTCCCAGACCAGGGCTCGAACCTGTGTCCCCTGCATTGGCAGGTGGATTCTTAACCACTGCGCCACCAGGGGAGTCCCGTATGGTGTCTTTTTAACTCAAGAGATAGAATAGTCTGGGGTGAGTTTGCCTATAGCTAACCATATATACTTATGACGAATCTAGGTATATAAATTAAAGGAGGATACATAAAATACAGGCAATCCCCCAACATATGGAGATATGTAATGACCCACCTTAGGTATTTTCTGGTGTCCAATTTTTTATGAGCCTTTATATTTGAGATGATTAGAATCAAAATGTACCCTTGGAATATGATTAAAATAATCACTACGTTAAATTTTAACTAGCATGAAATATATCTTTAAGAGACATATCCGTGTTTGAAATTACCAATTAGTTCCTTGTGGAAAAAAATCCACCTCCATACTTTCTCTATAAAGATACTTGTCAACAATTGTTTCATGAGAACACTGAAATCTTTGTAAATTCAAAATGCTGCTCAGCAAAGTCGTTTAGTGTCTGAAAATTCAATTAAGCCACTATATTGTCAGCACTAAGTGGCAAAAACAGTCAAGATGCTTGAACTCTTTTAAATTTCAAACATCTTTATGATATGGTACCAGTAACACTGTCAGACCTGCCAATTTCTCTGTTTTGATGAAGTCATCAAGATGGAATGGCTTCCTTCATTGCAAAGTCAATTTTAGTATGAATAAGCAAAAAATTATCTGATTATAAAGGTGATGAAACATTATACGGTGCTGTAAAGGAAGGTTGCTGAACCTGTACATATAGAAATTCATGAAATAAAATGGTACCAAACAGTGTAGTTTTCACCCAGCAGGAGACTATCTCCTGAGGTTCCCTCCTGTGCTGTGATTTTATGAATAGGAATGGCAAAGTGAGGCAATGAAAATTAAAATTTGGTTCCCTCTTCCCCCCCAAAAGCTTATTTGGTTGGATAGAGTTTGTTGCTGTGTAAATGTTTGCAAATGACTCAGAAAATATGAGCAGAGAAATATTTAGTCAATCAGGTCATCTGATTGCCTAATCATCCTTTGGTGAATTGAAAAACAAATTACAATATTGATTAAATCTAGCTGATGATACAAGAAAACGATCCAAATCACCATCTAATTCAATCTATTGTGAAAACGGCAAACATCACATTTCCATATTTACTAGTGTTGTTTATATAATTATTTAACTCTGCACATGAACAGGATGGCAGATATTCTGTTGGTTCCAGAGTCAACTGGGTGGTGACTCAGTTCTGATAAAAAGGAGGACAGATACTTATATGCTGCAGAACTACGACTGGCCAGAGGTTCTGCTGGGTGAAAAGCCATGAGATACAGGGAAACACTGGTGTAGGAGGCCAAACGCTTGGGATCAAGCCTTGACACACAGATTATTAGCTGAGTGACCTTGGCAAGTCAATTCATCTCCCCAAATAATGCATTTTCTTTGTCTCAAAAATAAAAATAGCAATACATGTCTCCTTTCTCACGGTAATTTAGAAGAAATAAATGAGAACGTACATATGAAAGTAATTTTAACTTTCAGCTGTGATGTGAAATGCAAGGCATTATGAATCAGGCACTCTGGAACTGGGTTCTCTGTTGAGACCTCAAGGGTCAGCAGAATTCAATAAAGCAATCCGAGCATGGGCCTTGATCGGAGGCCTGAGAACATCAATACCTCATTCAAAGGCCTTATAATACTGTGATAATTAATAGTTAACAGCGAATTACAGTTTAGAAAACACATCAATATCTGTAATCTCATTTTTTATTAATTTATCCCTACGAATAAAGGCTCTTAATCAGGTACAATATGATATAAAGAATTGAGTGTTTTAAAATCAATATAAGGAGATTCTTGGAAATAGAGCTGTGAGCCCATGAGGACAAACAAAATACAAATAAGGTGAGTACCTCCCACAAGGCCTGGCACATAACATGAAACCAAGAAATGTTTGTCAAGTTAATGGAATAAAAAGGTCATGTTTCTTCAGGAAATAAGAATTCAATGAGAATTTTGAAAATGCTGATGGGCACCCATGATATATTCAAACTAAGCTGCCTGAACGTTAAACAGCAAAAACAAGATATGTTCATCCAACAGAACTTGTCAAGTGACTCCCTATGAGCTGACAAAATCTGGTGCTTTCTGCCTTCTTGCCGTCCTTCCCAAATTCAATCTCCCAGCACTTCCTCCCTGTCCTCATGGCTCCTCTACTGATCTGAAAGAGTGCGTTTAACTACAAGTGTCAACGTATACTGCCTCGTTTTCCTGCAGCATCGGATGTTTCTCACGGCATCTTCTCAAATACTTCCACATGGGATGGTAAAAGCACACTGCGAGGTTGATGAGATGATGTTACAGTATGTGTACACACACACACACACACACACACACACACACACACACACACACACACACACACACACACACACACACA